TTGTGTGATCATTTTCTGAGAGTGGTTATACGAGGACCCGGCGGCTCGTAGAAGCGGTCCTGGTACCCTGCACTCCTTGAAGACACCTCAATACCGCCAACCTTGTAGTTAGTGGACAACCTGCTCTGGACAGATGGATTGGTGCCGTGTTAACAGAAGCCGGAGAACGTTGCTGAAGGACATCTGGAGTTCCCTGCTTAGCCTCTGCAGCCTGACTTTAAATTAATAGAAGAGTAAGGGATGGTGAATGGATGGATTCATTCATCTATTCATTCATTTATGGACCCCAGAACAGGAATTTCTCTGACTTTGGTGATCAATAAAAATGTTTGTTTGTGCAATGCTTTATGGTTTACGATCAAATACCTGCAAAATGAACAACATTCACATTAACATCAGCTCCCGTGATGACGTGCTGCATTAGGGTGGTCAACATAATAAAAACTGATAAAAAGTCTGCGTTATGTTATTGTCATTGTTAGCATGTTAGCATGCTGACGCTAACGTTTTGCTCTGTGGTGGTTGACTTGCACCTCACAGAGCTGCTCAGGACTTCACTATGAAGCGACGTTAGTGGGTTAGCGTTGAGCTTAAAGTTTTCAGTACCATGAAGGTGGCTCTCTTTTAACCTGCTAGATCTCCATGGTAACTCATCCTGTGGAGCTAACCTGGACGTTTGTGTTCAAATCGTTTTTTGACAATTCTCTGAGTTTTGTGGATTCTCAGCTGAAGGAACATGTTTCAGCAAACCTGTTGAGCCGTACGTCATCGATATCACTGAATGAGGCTGTGCAGATACAGCTTCACACACTGTATGCATCGCGTTACCACGGGAACCAGACGCGTCTTTATGCATAAATGATGTTTTTATGTTTGGTCCTGATTTGCTGTCAGGTCCGTTCACTCTGCAGCTGACTGAACCCAGATTAGAAAATGTATTATTCTGCTGGTATTTATTACAAGAAATATTCAGTCAATCACATTAGTTTCACTTTGATTTGACCAAAAATTAAAGTGATTTCCTGCATTATGGGACAGCGTCAGACCTAAATGACCTTCAACACAAGTTTAAAGTTGAACAGCTCTGATGTGCAGCTGTCAGTTAGAAATAATCAGCTGCACTGATCAATACATTACGCACATTTAACAGTTTTCTACCAGCATTTCTGTCTTGCATCCTTTGCAGTAGCAGCTCTTTTTATTTGTCCTCCATTAAAACAACCTTCTGACTGAAGCAGCTGCACACAGTCGTTTTATTTAGTGCAGAAGAAGAGTCACATGACGGGTTAAGCGCCTCCTTTTTATGTGAACGGGCTGAAGCAGAAAACCTGAGTGAACAAAGAAAGTTGAGCACCACGTCGTGATGCCTTCTACCTCTGGCTTTGGTTTTTGTCAAGCCGACCTACACACAGAAAGCCCGGCTATGTCACACTCGCTCCGTGATGCAGCCCTCTGGCTCTTTTAGCCCCGTTACACGCTGGCCGTCTCCATTTGTTTCAAACTCGTCATCTTCTTCAATGTGGACGGCAGGCCGTGGGACTTTCACCATGAAGCACATTATATTGAGGTTTGCTCTGACTTTGAGCATTACGCATTACGCCGTGTCCATCTCGGTCGCCGGGAAACGGCAGAAACTCCACACGCTAAGTAAAGAGTAAAGTCACACCTGCCCTCTCACAAGGGATCTCTCACTTTCGATTGAAAGCGAATTCTCTTCTGCTCTCCTCTCCTCTCTATAATTTCATCCAAATCGATGTGCTGCTCCAGCGGCTCCTGAAAGCTTGACATCTGACTGATTGCTTCACACAAAAACCTGCAGCTAAATAAAATAACAGGGAACCCAAATGAAGTTTATACACCTTGATAAGAGCTCTATTAAGTCATTGTGAAATAAGCCTGAATGTAGCTCTGGCCATTACTTCAAGCACACACAGAAATGCTCACTGTTACACACACACACACACTTTTAAATGAATCTCATGCACCCAACTGTGGAATTGTGTTGGAAGGTAGATTATTCACGGAGAATCGACTACAATTTCACGGCTTTCTGGAAATAATTAGCGTGACATTTATTCAGGCTTTATAATTGGTGAAGATTCCAGACCCTCACCTCTAATAAAGTTGTCATTGAACCTTTAATGCTGCTGGCTGCCATGACAGTGGGGGAATATTGCAGCCCGGTGCAGGAGGGCAAACACCAGTGTAGTCGGCTTTATGGTGCATGTGTGTTTGTGTGAGAGCAGTTAAGTAAAGTGTGATCCATTCTGGGTCCGAGCCCTAATGAAAGCTGCCCACCGTGGCACGATGAGAGCGTTTCTTAAAGATTTTTAAGGAAACCTCACTTCAGCTGAAACGCATTCGCTGACAAACAGGAGCTCCACTTTGAAGTCGTTAAAACCAATCATCCCGTCCTCCTCGTAATTTTCTTCATTTGCGCCATTTTTCCTTTTCCTCTCCTCTCTCGGTGATCCTCCTCATTTCACACCTCTTGCTATGATTTCCTGGACTCGCTCCACTCTGCTGGCCTTTTCCTCTTTCACCTTCGTCTCTTTGCTGTGAAGGGTTGAGCCTCTGTGTTTATCTTCAGGACAGAGACGGCGTCTGTGTTGCACAGTATGCTGAGGCTGGAGAGGTATCACGGTACCCTGCCCTTAAACATTATATTGTAAGTCATTTTATTACTCGCAATACTTGAATAATCACAGTTTTAATAGGACCCGTATTTCCAGTGAGTTACCTTGATGTGGAGCTGCAGATATAGTGGGCTGGGCGCTCGCTTTTTTTTTATTCTCATGTAAGCTTTCATGGTAAAAAAAAAAAACAAGAGGCATGACTGCAAATGAACTCTTACAGAACGTCCACTGATTTTCCACAAAATAGACAGATGTGGCGTTATATTGCTTCCAGCTGACGGTCAGAACACCAGCGGACCCCACCGAGCCCAAAAACAGATGCTTCAGAGGGAGCCGACGCCCAACTGGTCTGTCAGACACGCCGACTTGTCTGAAGGATTCAAACAGCGACAGTTTGCCGATGTGATCAATACATCTTGACCTCAAGTATTAATGAGGGCTTTAATTTGTGACAAGCAAACTTTTTTCACTATTGCTGCTTGATGAGGCAATAATTAAACCACAGCAGTTTGTTTTAGCTTTTGTTTTTTTTTAGCTTAGCTTTAGCTTTAACATTTGCAAACGCGGCAGTCACACTGGTTACTGCAAAATGTAATAGAGTAGAGTAGTTATAAATGATCTACGAGTCAAAATGGGCACTAAAAGACTGCTCCTAACACCGCTGCAAAGATTTAAATGGTAAATGGTCTGCACGTAAGTAGCGCTTTTCTACCTTAGCGGCACTCAAAGCGCTTTACAATGTGTTTCTCATTCATCCACCAATGGTCACAGAGCTGCCATGCAAGGTGCTGCAACTTCAGGTTCAGTGTCTTGCCCAAGGACACCTGGACTTCGGGGGATCGAACCACCAACCTTACGATCAGAGGACAGCTGCTCTACCACCTGAGCCACAGTCATTGTGGATATGGAAACCTGTTAATGTATAGCTACACTGTGCTGCTCTTGTTTTATGACTTTTCACATCTTCCACTGCTTTGCATTTACAAATATTTACATTTTTATATCTATTTAAAAATACCAAATTTTAAGTCCCATTGCCTGTCATCTGGGCTGCATAGTGGCTCAGTGGTTAGCACCGTCGCCTCACAGCTAGAGGATCCCCGGTGAGGACACCCGGGATCTTCCTGCGTGAAGTCTCCATGTTCTCCCCGTGCAGCGTGGGTTCTCTCCGGGTTCTCCGGCCTTCACCCTGAGTCAGCTGGGATAGGCTCCATGACCCTAGTGAGGATGGATGTCTGTCATCTATGACTCCTTTACGAGGCTTGATGTTGTAGGTTTTGTTGCAGTTTCATTTCAGTTCTATTCGAAGTTGAACGGTTTTTGCAAAGCTTCCAGTTTCATGCATTTCGTCCTCAGTTTGTGTCTCCACTCCTTTTTCCAGCCTTCCTGACACGTTGCTAATAGACAAATCGAAAATGATCAAATCCTTTTTAGAGCTAAAGAAGTGGAAATGAGATATCACAGATACTGAATTAACACATCAGATGATAGAACGGGAAGGAGAAGAAGAAACCAACCAAGTAGAGAAAATTAGACGAGAAGAAAAAACTTCTGCAACAAACATGAAAACAAAGTGATGATTAAGTTTTCACATGATCCACTTGTCTGGTTTTTGTAGCTACAGTGTGATGATGGTGAGTTTCTGCTGTGCTTTAATTACATCTGTTCTGTTGGTGTGCATGTCACGGTTCCTGCATTCGATCCAACAGCAGCAGCGCCACGAGTTGGTTTGTTAGACGGAAAAGCTGAACGTGAGTTTCAATTGCTTCCATACATTTGCTATTGTAGCTCCAGCAGCAACAACATCCATCATCTCTACACCTTAATCCTCACTAGGGTCATGGGGGGCGGAGTCTATCCCAGCTGACTCAGGGTGAAGGCAGGTTCACCTGGACAGGTAACCAGTCTATCACAGGGCTACACTTAGAGACAGACAACCAAGCACACTCACATTCACACCTACGGACAATTTACAATCACCAATTAACCTCAGCATGTTTCTGGACTGTGGGAGGAAGCCGGAGAACCCGGAGAGAACCCACGCTGCACAGGGAGAACATGGAGACTCCGGTGCCCCCACCGGGTCGCGAACCGGCGACCTTCTAGCTGTGGGGCAACAGTGCTAACCAACTGCGCCACCCTGCAGCCCGCAGCAACAACAGATCATTCCACAATCCTCATCCACAGCTTGTTTTTGATTTAAAAACAATAAAAGCCTCTTTGATAGGACTGCCTGTGTACCTGTGAATGATTTAATTATCTACTTGTGAGACTAATAGCTTGATGTGTCTCTTCTCTCATCGTGACACTGAGAGGATGCCTGTTGCCTGAGTTGTGACGGCCGGCCTGTGTTGTGTGTCTCAGGTGGCGGTGACATTTGCAGTGGGGTCGGAGGTCGGCCTTCAGAGCAGCAGCGACTTCAGTCAGATGGGGAAACCTTTCCTAATGGGCACAGTGGCTCTGGGTGAGAATCTGCTTTGTACTGTATTGCTTTTTTTTCCTCCTCTCCCTCCATTCCATCTTCATCTTTTCATCTCTTTGGCTGTTTTTTTTTTCCAGTCCATAATCCCTCTTTTGCTGCCCTTTCTTTCCTCGGGCCAAGAATACCGAAGGCTGGTGGTGGTCTGACTTTTCAGTGTTATCTGATTTTGAACAGCAGCTTGCACGACTGCATTATATAATGCAAATGTACAGCAGAGCTTTTCCTCCATCTCCAGCCATAAAAAACAGAAGAATTGTTTTTCAAGTGCAGTCAATACTAGGGTTGTGCAGTATAAACCTGAAGGTGCCCGACTGCTCACTGACATTCATTTGGGAGGAAATATCTGCAGTTACGTGACAGATTTCGATCTATAGTGTACGTTTTAATTGATATTTTTCTTCCGGTTGGAAGTGACAACTGACTAAAGATAAGCTGTTGTGTTAGAGACGTTCCTTTACTGAAACTGCCGTGTCCAGGATTTATTCATCCTCTTGAAACTCTCACAAATTATTGAGAAAACGCAGCCTTTGTACCATCCTAAATGATCATTTTTACCAAGTTAAAGAGAACTGTAGCGCAGTCTGTCTTTAGGCAGTTGCAGGTCATGACAAAAACTAAAGAGTTCTCTGAGCTCCATATCACGATCCATCACTGAGACAGAGCGGCACACTGTGGCTGCCCACGAGACGGAGAAAGGCTGTAAAGCCACGTCAGAGTGTTTTCAAGTGTCAGTGGCCACAGTCAAGAAGTGCAAAGAGTTTTGCACTGGGAAAAATCTCAGAGGGTGTGGGAGGAGGATAAAAGTGACCCCTGAACCGAATGGCATTAAAGGCAGCTCAAGTTGCCAAAAACAATCCAAGGATCATCAGCAAAGCCATCGTGATGAATCTGAGCAATTCTGGTGCTAACATGGACTCCTCGGACCAAGGAGGACTTTACTTCTTCAAGACAGGTGCAGAAAAGCTCACCTGGACAAAGTGGAAAGCTTTTGGTCATCAGGTGAAGACGTGGCTTTAGTAGGAGTGTAAGCATTCAACCTGAAGAACGCCAACCCCACTATCCAGCATGGTGGTGGGAATGTAAAGGTTCAGGGTTGTTTTTTTTAGCCGAGGGGCCCCGTAAACCTTGTCAAAGTAAATGGTGTCATGAGAAGAGAGGACTACATTAAGACCACATCAGGCAGTCTGCTGAAAAACGTGGCCCGAGGCAGCAGTGGACCTTCCAACGAGACGAGATCTGAAACATATAGCCGGAGTGGTGAAGAGATGCTCAACAGAAAGCAGCATCAACATGTTGGAGTCCAGACCTGAGTCCTATAAAGGATCTGTGTAGAAAACTGAAGAGATGCAAGGAAGCCCTCCAACCACAAAGACCTGGAGACCTTCAGTGAAATAAAATCCTACTGGAGGCTAGTTAGCAATCATAGCAACTGTTTGGTTGATGTGGTGGCAAATAAAGGCTTCACTATGGATCCTTGGAAAAGGGTTAATTTTGGCTTTGAAGTGAAAATGTAATAATAATATAAAAAGGAAACAAACAGTTAAAATTTATTCAGCAAATCCTGCAGACTGTCACAGACCTAAAATATAAAAACATAAATGAAATACAACAAATACAGTGCAATTCCTTCTACAATCATTTAACTTTCTCCAGACTTTTCTGAGTATTGAACAGTGTAAGAGCCTGAGATCTGTGTGTGTGTGTTTGTGTGTTTGTGTGTTTGTTTGTGTGTGAGTTTGCCATCCAGCTGAAAGTTTTTCATCCACACCAGCAGCAGCAGCAGCAGCAGCAGCAGCAGCACTCTGCCTTCCTGAAGCCATTGCAACACATCAGCTGTGGCAGCATAAGGGGTGATCGCTCTGTTGTATTAGCATTTCTGTGACAGCTCTGACTGTACTTTGTACCAGCTTCCATTACTTCAGAGGGCCATTTGAACATGCAAACTGCCAGCGGTGACAACTGCTTTGCAGTTTGTCACTGCTAGTTGTGTGGAACAGTATATAGCACAACTTTAAATCATTTTATTAAGATTAAAAAAGGATTACATTTATCTTGGGATTCTGGTCAGGATTTAAAAGCCTCTTAAACAACATTCAGGCTATGATGAGACTCTAAAACTACCCACTGAAACCAAAACTAATCCAGTGGTGCTCTTAAAGCAGGCTGAGAGCCATTCCACCACAGCTTATAAAGACTGACACCTCTAAAGGGAAATGTAAAGACAGAAAGCACGATAATATTAGAAAAAAAAAAAGAACGGCGAACAAGAGAGGAAATCATTTCAAACTTCGATAACACTGACCGGCCAATGTAGAGACACAATAAAACCTGTGCCAAGGCAGAAATGAGACTTCACAGGTCTGCACTACATAACACTAGACTGTAGATTGAACCTTGACTCGTCAGGTTTTCTGTCTCAGCTCACTGCAGATGTGACTGGTCAGGGTTTGACCATTGATTCATGTACACACAACAGTGACCGAGGAAGCCACACCACATGTTGGTAGTACACAACAGACTGGACCAGGTTACGTAAAACAAATCTAAATTTATGTAACACATGTTGAACAGGAGCTTATGAAGCGTGACTCAGCTCGCCTTCCAAAAGTGAAGAAAAGTGCACAATAGAACTTAAATCCTGATTGATCCTGTCTCCAGCTTGTTCTGAACATGTGTGTCCTGGTGAATCTGGGTGTTTAATAAACTCAGATCACCAGGTCCGACCCGTTGAAGCCCATATGTTCAGATGCCATCAGCTTAACAGAAACCAGTCCGTGTCTGAAAGGGGCAAGTCAAAAAGAGATTCATGATGCAGAGAATTTTCTGTCTTGCAGTTTGTGATTGTTCTGTTTTTGCAGTTCAACCTATCATATATGAATGATTTCACACTAAGACGGTGTGTAAACAGTACAAGAAGCTCATAGATGGATGTTCCACGTCAACGTCTGACCTGCTGCTTTGTTGTGTTTTTTTTTTTTTCCTCAACAGGTGGGATTGTAAACGTGATGCCGCTGCTTTTCTCACAGATCTCGCACAACAAAACACAGGTAAGTCTAGTCTGTGCTGCTGCGTGCTGATCCGTGGACTCGGTGTACTGAATCCAGAAACAGCTTAGCAGCACTGTGTCGGTATTCTTTGGCATTAGCACACTGTGAAAGATAAACTGAAGCTCGCGGGGAGCCGTCGGACCGGCGGACTCTCAGACAGGCCGGCTGATGTGGATGCAGGCTGGTCCGGTGGAGCAGCTCAGTGGTCAGCATCACTGCGGTTATACTGGGCGGCTCTTTGAAATGTGCTAAACAAAGGCTTTCTAAAGCAGATTCAATACATTAACTGTATGGATACCGGTTGAAAAAATGCACGAGGCTCTGATGTAGGATCTTGAATTCAGCGTGTTTGAGTACATGTTATTTTTCCTGAAGCCCACGTTGGTTCGAGCTGCTGCGTCTCCCCGTTCCTGCCAGCACACTAACCCTGCCCGCTGGCTGGGTCGGGCTTTATTGGTCGGGTCAGAAGTGCTGCTGGTTAGGTCGCAGCTGTTTCCCAGGTACATGGGCTCGTCTTTGTTGGACGGGCTCACGACTCACCTCTGAATAATGTGTGGCTGCATATAAAAGCATATATTTATTTAAAGTAACTTAAAGTTGTACGATCATTTCTAACAGAGTAACATGCAGGACAGTATTCCTACAAATGGACAAATATGCATGTATGAGACAAAAACGTAGGCACAGTAGTGAAATGCATGCGCTTATGTAACGCTTACCAACAATGAACAAAACGACAACAATGCAACACAACAGGTTTATTCAAAGCTCTTTACTACTGTCTAACTAGTGGAAGGTAAAGCTACACCCACCCTGACTCAGAATGGGTGTTTGGAGGTGACTCAGCATGACGGTGACCGTGATCCATCCCTCTGATGCATCTGTAACCTTTACTGACAGAAATCTGAATATTTGTTTTTATTTTTTGGAGCATTTAATAAGTGAAAATTTAAACTATGTCTGAGTAAATTAAAGGTGCTTTAAGATTCAGATTCATTTTATTGTCATTGCAACGAGTGCAACGAAAAGTAAGGTGCAGGCCTTTTAGTGCAAAAGAAAAATATGTACAACATAATATAAAATATATATAAACTCTCTATATGAAGATGAAATTAAATAATAAGCACGATCACAGTGGATATTGCACAGAGGTCGTGGCAGTTGCATATTTACAAGATATTGCACATATTATGATAAAGAGGCAGAACAGAAATACATATATAAATTTTTTATTCTCAGTGCTTGTTATTTTGGTGATTTTCCTTTGACTCAGCCTGAAATCTCCGTTGGACCTTAAACACTGTGATTAGTTAAATTTCTAACAATTTAACCAAATTTCCCAGAAACCTGCCAAACAAAATGAAAATTAAGATTTTTTTTACCAACCCCAGCTGCTGTGGAGAACAGAATCCACTCCGGCCCGTGTGCTTCGTGATTTAAATGCTGTTTCTGACACACGCTGCTCAAACTGAAACGTGTGGAGACTCAGGTGGGTGGAAATGCACTCACTGCTCCGAAGACAAATAAGTATTTAAAATCCTCCTGCGTCTCCGTCCCCGACTGCAGGACTGCGTTTCTGTGGCTGAACTTTCTCGGTGCCGCTGTGAGAATCACATCCTGTGCTTCATAGAAAACAGCCACCTCCATCTGAGTGGCTGGAACACTGCGAAATGTGTCATCATGTCTAAAGTGATTTCTGTGTTTTAAAGGTCATTGTCTTCAAGTTATCTCTGAAGATGGATATTTTGCATTAAACACAAATATTTTATATGACACACACGAAGACGAGGTCCGATCCAGCAGCGCTGAAAGCAGCTGCTTCTTTGTGGACAGTCAGTGCACCAATGACTGGAGCTGTAGGGACCACCACACTGCATTAGCATTGCCGCTAACGCTGGCTGAACTCAGTAATATCATGGACTGTCATTGATGTTGTAGCTTAATGATGTCAGTATGTCTGTTCTCCTGTGACTCTGTGTGATGCTGGTCAACCTGTGTTGTCTCCGTGTCCAGATCCTGTGGTTCCGGAGAGCGGTGCTCGGAGGTCTGACAACGTGCACTGTGCTGAACATCCTCTGGTGAGCACATCGTTCTTTATCCTCTGAGCTCCGAGCTGTTTCTCTGCGTTTTTTTCTTCCTGTTACTTTTTCACTCGTTGTGGGATCGTTTTTCACTTCAGTATGAAATCCTGCTGCACCTCTATGAAAACAGCACAACCATACAGAGAGTTAGAAAATGTCCTCTGCTCACTTTTCCAAAGGTTTAATGCCATAAGTCCCATTAAAAACAAATACAGTTGAATTTACTCATTGAAGGTTTCACCAATACTGGACACTATAGCTGCTTTAATACTTCAATTTAAAATGTGTTCCTGCACTTGTATCCTGTCTGCTCTGAGTAAACACAGCCTGCGGTTCAGCCGGTAATGTCCTGAATTGTTTGGACTTTTTAAACTCTGTTGAGTCACTTATGACTTGCTGTATGCACCACAGACAGCAGAATCCTGTTGGAGCAAACACTTTAGTTTTGATGATTTTCTAAATGGCTCAGGTGGTAGAGCGAGTCGGTCGATGATCGGAAGGTCGGCGGTTCGATTCCGCCCTGTAACCTGTTTCATGGTTGTTGTGTCCTTAGGCAAGACACTTCACCACCTTGCCTGGTGTGGATGTGTATGAATGGATTGTTTGAGGTGGTGGTCGGAGGGGCAGAATGGCAGCCAGGCCTCTGTCAGTCTGCCCCGGGGTAGCTGTGGCTACAATCGTAGCTTCCACCACCAGAATGAATGTGTGTGAATGAATAATTGACAGTGTGAAGCGTCTTTGAGTGTCCAGAAAAGCACTATGTAAATCTGATCAAAACCAATAGTTGTGTTTTATCAGTCACGATTTGGTTCAGTTACTTGTCTGAACGTCGTCTCACAGACACGTCGGGGCTGCTGCGGTTCAAAATGCGACACTACTCCCTGTTTGTACAGTTTCTGGCTTTGATAAATGATGTGGTTTTTTATTATTATGTTTATTTTTACCATAGCATGCCTTTAAACCCTGCCAGGAGATTTTGAGGTTCAGAGGGTTAATTGTGCTGCTTCTGTTTTGATAGCTGACCATATGTTAGTCAGAGATGGGCGTCTTAGTCAACCAAGTTTTGATCAGTTGGTCGGTTGCAGAATAAAACAAACTCCCAACTCCCCAGAGAGTGAAAACACTCAGCCTCTCGAGTCAGTCACAGACGGACATCATCCTTTACTCGGCTGGACTCTGTGGTTATTAGATAGGCTGCACTTTGTCGACCCGAGGCGCTCTGTGTGATGATTAATGGCAACATGTTCAGCCGGCTTGCTGGTTTTTCTCACACATCCAGGATCATTACTGCCTTCCTGGGGTTTCAGTGGCTTGCTTTGTGTGTGCGCTCCTAACAGTTATATTTAAAAGGCTCATTAGCTGCGGTTTTGTGTTTTTCTGTAATGTAGCGTGGTGTCAGCGATTCCAGCCTACTTACAACCTTCTCTGAAAGTCAAATAATTCTCTGGCATCCCCCCAAAAACTATGTATTATGAATATGTGATGATTAGTCAGCTAATGGCTTCAATAAACAACCAGGAACATCTTCAATAAATACCTTGCAGGCAACAAATAGATAGAAGCTTATCTATCCTTTCAGGTGTCATCCTTTAGAGTCATCGAGGCAAAAACAAGTCCTATGACTCTACTGTCAGAAACAGAAGACAAATAATTAGATTAGACAAACCTGCCCCCCCTCAACACCCCAGAAAACTATATTTAATACAGACACCCATTACCAGCTTTTCTGAATCTGCTCCTGAACTATGGCGCAGACTTTCCCCTCCAGGAGACCATCTGGTGGATCATCTCTCGGGGGAGGGCACCGCAGGACACCAAACTTTTTTCTGTGAACGACGGCCACAGCCTCTCCACAGGCAGCCGCTCAGGGATTATGGAGGCAGCGGAATCGGTGGCCGGCTTTCTTCTCGGCACAGGCGTCATTAAATTTAAGCTTTTGTAGCTTTCACCTCTCACGAGGTCTTGATTGTTTCATTTGTTGAAATCCTTCCAAGCGCAGGACTTATTTTACTTTTGGGAACGGCGTTTTTAGGAACAGCTCTGGACTGTTATGGTTGTGATTGGAAATAAGCTCTGACTGAGTGATTCTATATGAATCTGAGACGGTAAGGCTGCCACGCCTAGAAAGTATGAAAGGGTTCAGAAAGTCAACTCTTACAGATGACTTTTTTGGGGGAGACATTTAAGCCTTTATTATAGAGCAGATGAAGAAAACAGGACAACCAGACGTGGCCACAGCGTTGGGGTCTTACAGCCTCTCGTCATGGGTCACCTGCTCAACCAGGTGAGCTACTGAGGCACCACAGAAAGTCAAACTACATTTGTAAATTTATAAACATCATCTTCATTCATCTCAATTTTAGAATTTAACGCCACTTTAACACAGTCACAGTGTATTTGAAACAAGCAACCAAGATGTGGTTGAAGCGTCGACTTTCATCTTTTAATCAGTTGGTTTAAACATAAATATTGCATTTAGGAAGTTTGGTCTCCATTTAAACAGGCTTTAAAGTAATTTGACTACTGACTGATAAGCAGGTTTGGTTCTTTTCATAACAAATGAAGGAGATAAACGATTCAGAGTTAACTTCAAGCTGACAGCTGCTCTTGGGAACTCTTCATTGGAGCCCAAAGAGGTGTTGATGTGGGTGAGTGACGCCATCATTAGCCTGAAAGAACAGAGCAGATCTATCCACGTGATAGCAGAACGTCCAAATCCACAGTTTGGGACGTGCGTTGGGGAGCTTCAAAGACCAAAGAAGACAACTAAAGTGGATGACGGCAGAGTTCTTTCCTTGGCAAAGACAACACCCTTTACAACATCCAGCTCAGTGAAGAACCCTCTGAGGAGATCGGTGTATCATTGCCAATGGCTTCAATCAAGAGACGCCTTCATGAATGTAAATATAGATGGTTTACCTCAAAAACAGAAAGGCAGCTCTGAAACCAGATTCTTGGGACAGATGAAAGCAGATGAACTTGCACCAAGAAGAGACGAGTCTAGTGAAGGAAAGGAAGCATCGTCTGTCGGACCTGGTGGAGGCGGTGCATCGGCATGTATGGCTGCCAGAGGAACCAGGTCCTGGTGCTTATTTATGATGTGACCACTTGTGAAAATAGCCGGATGGACTCTAAAGTGTGTCGAGCTGCTGTCTTCTCTGATCCTGTCAAATGCTTCAGAACTAAAACGACAGAGTTTCACAGTACAGATGGATTCTGTACTGTCCCGCAATGTGCCATGAAGGAAGTCCAAAAGCTTCTCAGTGCAGAGAATCAAGCTGTTTGTAACTGATCTGAAGACAAAACAGAGGGCAGAAAAACCCAAAACAAGCAGCAACTTAAAGGCCTGGCAAAGCCTCTCAATGGAGGAAACTCAGCCTGTGGAGACGTATGGACTCCAGACACTGACTTTCATTCAAGGATTAAAATAAATCCTAATGTTTATGTTAGTTTTGTACAAACACTTTTCATTCCTAAACAGACAATGCAATATTTTAGTTAACCCCTGTTCCTGGACTTCTTCTTCTTCTTTTATTTCACTCCATCACATTTTTATTCAAGGTGTGCTACTTTTTCACCGCAGAAAGAATTCACAAATGTCTTCTGTGCAGTTTTTGTTGTTTTTCACCAATTTTTAACAATACGTATAATATAAAGTGGTTTTAATAAAAATTCACAATTTCCAGGGTAGATTTGCCACATTTTTGCAAACAATTAATTAGCTGGAGGGCTGCCTGAAAGTCGAAAATCCAACCTTGGTCCTGTTTTTACAGCTTCTGGCTCTTTTTTTTCATTTGTCTATTTTTTAAAGAAAACACGCCTTTCAAAGCCGCCAACAGGTTTTGGGGTTAAGATGGTCAAAGCCCTCAAATAAATGCTAAAAGTCAACATTTCAATCACATCTCGACTGCTTCATTTCAAATCTATTGCAGTGGCGAGACAAAATTACCAAAGTTGTGTCACCGTTGTGAAAACTTGTGGTCTCGACTGTTTGACCACACCGCTGCACCACGGGGGAGTCTGGGATCATCTACGCCGGCTGAGGAGGCAAGATCCTCTGAGACCTGCAGCAGATTGAAGAGAGCAAACGGTAGAAGTTGCAGCAAGGACGGTGGTCCAGAGCGAAAGGAGGCCATCTGGCACAACAAACATCCACAAAGGACCTGAATGCACCAGAGAGCACAGACCATCAGCCGTCTCTTAGCTTTATAGCCGGACAGTCAGGTGCATTTAGGGAGAATGTTTAGCCTGCTGCTTCCTGCCCTCAACGTAGAAACAAGCCTTTGTGGGAAGGACTCAGACTGCACTTATGTTTACAGTGGTATTTAAACCTCTCTCTGTTCAGTACACATGGTTAGCGAGGCTAAACAGTGGACACATGACCACAGCAGATATGTCTTCAGTGACATGAACGGCCACAACGAGGCTAACTTTACTTTGTTTATGACTAGGTGTTTCTAAATGTGTGTGTGTGTGCATCTTCTTTCCGGCACCATGCTGGATTTTCGGCGTGCTGTGTTTGGCTCTAAAAAAAAGGGATAGGACTAGACTGCCAGTCGAGTTTGTCTACCAGTGGAATGAGATGCATTTACTGCAACCCATCGTAGCAGAAACAGATCCACGACTGCTGGAATATTGGTGGAGGACATTTAGTTTTACTGCCTGTGTGTAATTGTGCCAGAAAAGCAGAACAGACTATACAGCACCTTGTTTTTTTTACCAGGTTCTGTTTGTAGTCTTTGCTGTTCGTAGCTTTAAACACTGCTGCTGTCGCCGGCCCCTTTCTGGAGGAAGCCTCTCCACATCTGTGATGGACAGCGTGGAGCAAAACAGTTGACCGCAAAACAGCTGACGTACAGACTGAGTGTGAGAGACCGGGACTGTCTGTCATTTCTAACTTTTTCACTGAACGCTCATTTTATGTGGAAACAACACCGAATTCACACCAACTCAGGTACGGTGAGTTGGTCAGGTAGCGCTGTGGTTATTCTAGAGCA